ATACAAAACTCCACGTAATCCCAAGGGGTTCACATACTTTTTCTTGCAACTGTATATTAAAAGAATCAAATTATTCATAGGTTTGTCTCAAATGACACCAAGCTACATGTGATAATAAAAACACAGGAAGTTATTGATGCTGGCTTTTCTTTCTTAAAATAATAAGATAAGGAATAGAAAAATGGAACATAAATAATGGAATCACAATCTATGATATAGGAAATTAATTGCTAAATTACACACATTGAAAATAGCAATAGTCATGTCTTTGAGATTACTTGATTGCATCCATGTTATTATAGACAGCCCAGTATTTGTAAGATGGATATCATATCACAACATTGAAAACCACTGAAACATATTTTGCTTAGAATATTCTTGTGAGATTCAAAACAAGTTCCTTTTTTTTCCCAAGCTCTGGAATATTTAATTAAAATTTCCACTGTGGGTGTCAGTTCTGCAACCCCTTAGTAAAGATTGAATTTCATAAGGTAATTTCATATGGTAACAGTGGCCTGTTTTGCTTTGATTCACATTGATGCAAACACACCACACAAAAACAGGCCCAGGACATAATTAGATCAGAGTTTTAGTATATTAAATTTAGGGTGTTTCTTTCACATAACGAAATGCTTGAATTTATGATTTCAACCCATTTTACTATTATGTTTATTCACCGCCCACATCAGTGTCATGAATTCAATAGGCTTCCCTACTGAGAGAGACACGAAAACTGATGAAAAAGTCTTACATGTCGTGGCCTGTTCTGAGGCTGTATCGTGCAACGTGGTTCCTTTGCATTTTAACACGAGGATGTGTCAGTTTCCCAATAGGATTTTAGTAAAGCAAAAAATCTGAAGCCAGCGAGAAATTTTGGCACAGTCCTAGCAAAATGTCGCTAATTTCATAAGCAAATTGGAGAGAAGTACTGGCAGGGTGCCTCTTCCTTATAAACTACTGGCAGGGCTAATGTGCTACGAAAAAGCATGGAAATGCAGAACAAGCAAGCTATATGCACAGTCCTCACAACCTATGACCACAATTGAGCTCAAAATTTCTGTTGCTAAATGAGACAGCTGTGAAGTGAACTTTTACGACCTTTCTCGCCAAAGTTGTTAGGTGAATGACTGCATTTGTTAAATTAGTAACATGATTGTTAAGTGAATCTGGCTTCCCTGTTGATTTTGCTTATTAGAAGGTTGCAAAATGTGATCATATAATGACCTTGGGATGCTGCAGCCGTCATAAATATGAGCCAGTTGCCAACTATTTTGACTATGTAACCATGGGCATACTGCAACAGTCATAAGTCTGAAAAACGGCCACGAGTCACTTTTATTGGTGTTGTCAACCGTTGTAACAACGGTTACTAAATGAACTGTTGTAAGTTGAGCACTATCTGTGCTTTAGGTCTGGTTTCTGGGTTTAAAGCTTATTGATGTCATTTTTAAGCCCTGTGTTTCTTGTTGCTAAACTTACAAACTCTCTCCTTAATTCCTTGTTGTTCAGGATTATGAATTAATTTGAAGTTAGGCTTATCTGGATTTAAGCCTCATGCTATTTAATCATAAACCTGTCAAATTATGTGTAGAAAGATTTACTTTATTACAGAGTAGCCCCAGCCCGTACTATAGGCTTAGAGAAGGTTTAGGAGTATCTTTGACAAGAGTTTACACTTTTGATATTGGTAAGGGGTGTTGGCTGAGTGCCCGAGTTAATTGCTGAGTTGGTATAGCATGATAACACAAGCACAGTTATACTGCAGGCAGCCATTTCTGTATCAGCGTAAAAATGGAAGATTTTAGGACAAATGAAGGACAGTTTAGGTTTGGTGTAATACAGATAGATTTTCTGGCACAGTATTTGTTTGAGAACCACTTACTAAGTGTTTGGCACCAGTAACCTTAATGAAAGTATCTGCTATTAAACACAAGAAAAAATGGTATTGAGTGGATTCATGTTGTGGTATGGCTGTGGTGATCATATTTTCTTGGGAAAAAAAAATAAAGGACACGCCTGAAAAAGGGGAAAATCTGAAAGAAATTCACAAGGATAACATTTTCAAACTGGTTACAAAGGAAAACACAAGAACAAAACCAAGAAATTTTTTTACCAAAATGCATAACCTAATAAAAATGTCTGAAGCCAAACAGTACATTTAAATTAATTTTAAAAAGACAATTCCATTTGCATGATTTTTCACAGGAATATGAAAGAGGCTGCATATTTGTGGTGCTTTTTCTACGGGAAAAGTTAAATGGCCAAAATAAAGGGCAGAAGTGATTTTTGAAAAATAAATAAATGTAAATCTAAATTATTTCTGAAATAAAGCACTACCTATAATAAAGGACACACTGTCATTGTAGGTTGGCATAAGAGCCGAGGTGGCGCAGTGGTTAGGGTGCAGTACTGCAGGCCACTTCAGCTGACTGTGATCTGCAGTTCAGCGGTTCAAATCTCACCGGC